GTGCCGCTTGAATAAAATAATAGACGACTATCTAGTCTTCTGACTTTATCTGTGAAAATTTTCTTAAAATTTAAATGTCCTAGCCCCTTTAAATCTTATGAATATGAATTCTATCTGTTAAACCATCTGAAAAACAAGGCATTCAAACATGGAGATTCGTCTCTTTTTTACAAAACAGGTTAAATCCGACGAAGTCATTAATTCTACAAAAACTGACCGATAACTGAACTCGAAGATTTTTAAAATTCACAAAAAAAATCCAAAATACACCTCAGCATTATATGCTCTTCCTGAATAAGCTAAACCCTAAAACTGACCACAAGCTTAATCATTTCAGAGACACGACAGTTTATAAAAAATCATAAAAGCTAATGTGCGGTTATTATGTTTTATGATGGTGAGAAATCAAACGAACTTCTAACTTGGCCCCAAGAGCTATTCTCTCCGCTAGCTTCATACGAAATCCCTTTTTGTACTCATATCAACATTTATCGGGTATGAAACAACTTGCATTTGTAACTTTAGTACCTACTGCAATGAGGAAGGTTTTAGCAGCGGAGTGAATGTACCACGGTTGCTGTTCCGTGTGGCTAAAATCGTCCCAATATTCCAATGAAAAGTTTCCAGAAGTCTCGTTTCGCGAATTTCGCCTTCCTCCACATTTGAAAAGTCATGGAAGGTTTCTTTCCTTTTCTAACCACTGTAAAATGAACTTTGTTTGCCTCATAGAAAACTAGAAGATGGCGCTCAGCTTTTTCTTGGTTCGCCATGTTGGTTGCTCGACGTAAAACATGTTTAAAAATTGAATATTCATTTCGTTGGCATCCAAACAATCAGCGTTATATTTTTCTGCATTCCATCGTGCTCGATTGTGCCTCCAGCTTTAATTAAAGATGCAAATTAGCCTATGAATGTTTAACAAAGGGCGCGCGCTGGTGCCACATAAAACCATCAACGGACTATGTTCAAACAACAAAATGTTTACGTCTTTTGTTAGCTGCGATTTCAAATTGAAAAAAAGAAGCGAAAACGCAAATGAACAGGAGACTACATTAAGTTTTTTTTTTTTAATTCCGCTCATCGCTACTCTTGAAAGTCGGGCTTTATTCTGGTGATGTTTTTGGCCTCTTTTGCATGAACCTCTGAAAGGTTATATTCGGTAGCTTTTTACTAATTAATTGAAGTTATTGTTTTTTCTTTTCCGCCAAGTAGCTCTATGATATGAGGGATAAAGATGCAGCGTTTCGTCCAAGTTCCCAGGCTCTCTCACTCTAGTGCTCTTTTCCTTTCTCCTGGGAACGAGGTTGGGCGCTTATTTAAACTTCCAGCACAGAAAGTTAATGAGGATGGGGGGGGGGGGGGGGGANACAGAATTGAAAAATTTGAGATGGCAAACTCTACTGTTGATATGATGTCTGGTGGGTTGGAGAGTGACGAAGAATCCTCACCTTTCGAAACCTCTGTAATCATAAATAGTGTCCTCAATGCTCTACTGATACCAATATGCATCGCCGGCAATGTTTTGGTACTAGCCGCCGTATGGAGAAATCCTTCCCTACACACTCCGTCTACCATTTTGCTGTGCAGTCTTGCTGTTTCTGATCTTTTCGTTGGGTTTCTTGCTCTTCCAGTTAACATTGCCATCGCCCTTATACCGCTTTCTCAGAACAGTTCTTAATCACGTCTGTCACAAGCAAGGATCTTCCTCAATATTCAACTCTGCTGTGTTTCCCTTGAAACAATGACAGCCATCAGCGTGGATCGATATTTGGCCCTACGATATCACATGCGATATCCGAATTTGATGACCTCTAAACGTGCAATGTACGTAGTAGCAACATTTTGGTGTAAAAACGTCATTTTATCACTGCTTAGCATTTGGAAGAAAAATACTATTCTTGTTGTTGCAGTTGTCTTTGTTGCCTTATGTCTTTTCATTTCTTCAATTACTTACAATGCAATTTATCGAGTCGTTCGACACCATCAACATCAGATTCACGCCCAACAGCAAGCCGTACAAAATATGAACGCGGAACAAAATCTCAAGACACAAGGGAAGAAACGCGCTCTAAACACATTTATATATTACATTTGTATGCTTCTTTGTTATTTTCCAGCGGCTGTCTCCGCCATAATTTGGGTCACTTATAAAGAACATTGGAACATCAGATGGTATTTTACCGACACTATTCTGTTCATGAACTCCGCTATAAATCCATTCTTGTATTGTTGGCGTAATCGGGAAGTCCGGGAAGCAGTTTTGAAGATAGTACGAAAAAGGTTATGTAAAACGGATGAGGAAAACTGACTTAGATAACGGCGATCAATGAAATTGGTGGTTCATTTGCGATTTTATTTTAAGACCAACGATTCACTCTGAGACACTCAGGAGCAGATACTGCCGCTAAAAATCCGAGATCGAGGCAGTTGAAGAAACTACGTAACATGTTATGTAAAACAGATGGCGAAAACTTAACTTTCGGTTTGGTTGATATATCGATTTCCGCGAAGTTTATTTGCGTTTTTGCCTTCAGGAAAGACCAAGAAGAGCTACAGATCCTACGAGCAGATTGCTTCTCAATAGCTTACTCAGGGGCAGATAATGCTGCCAAGAAAGTAGCTAGAAAGTGGAAGAAACAAACAAAAAACTAGTGGCCAAGGAAAATTTGCAAGAAATGCAGTTTTGGGTCCCTGCTTTTTTTCCCAACCGCTACGATGATCTTCCATCGAACCCAGTATTTGAATCTTAGAACAACAGGCAGGACTTCCTTAAGAAAACAAATAAAACTCCTAGAGAGTCAAACAGTAACACTTAAACGTTATTTGACCGAGGAATAATTAATTTTTTTATCAAAAATTACAATTTTTTTGTTATACGTAACTTTAAGAGGACGTGCCTTTCTCCTCTCCTTCTTAGTATATACAATGTGATTTAACTTACATGTAAGTGCTTTAAGGTTATATTGCACGTTTTCTTTCCTTTGTTAAATTATTTCTTACTTACTTTTCACCCTATATCTAATTGAAATTCTGTATTATCACGATCTGCTATATATGGTTTGGCGAAACCAATAATATGACTGTCAAATGAAATGAAAAAATTAATAATTATGTATATAACAGCTTCTAATAATGACGCCAAAGCTGCAATTGTAATCTCAGTAGGTACAGCTGTGAGTTAAGTTAGGTAAAACGTAGCAATCAACTAAATAAGTTCTTATGGTCTATGTTAAAAATAACCTACCTTATCGAATTATATGTGCCTGTAAGAAAACAAGTTATTCAGACGTCGATTTACCTTGTATTTAAGGGATGATTAGCCAGATATTCTTCAAATAGCAGTTGCTATTCTTCGAGTTGTATTTTTGCTATTCTAGCTATGTTTTTAGGCATTTGTACGGCAATTTCTTCTTCGATGGTAAATAGCTGAGGCTGAGCTCGTCCCCAGGGCTTCTCGGGAATGGGGGTTGAAGAACAAATTTTGCCTGTACTCGGGAAGCACTCGGGAATAGTTTTTTGAAATTTTATCTCTGTCACCAACAATTAGACCGTGCAAAATAAAAGAATCGATAAAGAGAAAACAACGTAACAGTAAACACAAGCAATTAGTTGCAAAATAGACAATGTCATGGGCTTGGAAGCAATCTTGACGAGTTAGGCAACCGCGTGAGAAATTGCAGTCTTTGTATGAGAATCTAATAAAGGATAATTTCCGTAAAACGGCTCTTCTAAAAAAAATAGGAATTGTAAACTAAAGGTACACAGCAAAGGATTTTACTAACAACTTTCGGGGACCTTAACTGTGCTTAAATTTTTCCAGGCGCTTGCTTTAGATTTTCCATATATTTGTCTGCAATTTTTCTCGGGAAATTTTAGTCGGCAGGAAGAAGAAATTTTTACAGACAAATGAACCTCTGAAAGGTTATATTCGGTAGCTTTTTACTAATTAATTGAAGTTTTTGTTTTTGCTTTTCCGCCAAGTAGCTCTATGATATGAGGGATAAAGATGTAGCATTTCATCCAAGTTCCCAGGCTCTCTCACTCTATTGCTCTTTTCCTTTCTGTTGAGAATGAAGCTGGGCGCTTATTTAAACTAATGCGGCTGGGGAGAGGGGGCGGGGGTGGCTTACATGCAAGGGTGTCTCAAATCAAGTGGGACCCTTCCTAAATTTTCCTCCGCCATTTTTTTTCTCTGCGAATTGGGTTGACGGTTGAGACTAAAACCTAACGGCGAAGAAACTTTCCAAGATCGCTATAAGAACGACGCCAAGAACGGCCGGACTTGCTTTTTGCAAAGGTAGGATTTACAATTTTATCTTGCCAGCCAAAAAATACGAAAAGAAAAGGCCAAATAAACAAGGATGCATGACTGAAGCAGCTGTCTTCCAATGCTTCTCTGCTGTGTGGGGTTATTTGTGTTATGTTGAATAACTAATTTATTCTACGTTGTATCAGGCTTGCTTCGTTGTTGGTCGCTCTGGTCTTCTTTATCACTGGTGTGGTCGAAATGCAAGGGAAAATTATAGGAGTGGGAAAAGAAGAAGCTTTTCTTTTAATTTAATGTCCTTTCTGTTTACGGAATCGAAGTGACGGAGTTAAAGCAATTAATTACTTGATAAGCGTAATATATTTGCAAGTTTGACAAAGTGGGGTGCACACCTATTGGTGAAATAGAAAAAGGACGCTGACTTAATTGGTACCGTTCATCACCAATTCTATTTTAAAAGATGGACAAGTATAACTTCTACTAAATGAAAAGCCCTATTAGAAATAAGTTAAAGAATTAAATGCTGGCAAGGTGGTTATATCTTTAATAAGATGCCAGGTGAAACTATAAAAAATAATACGCAGTTTCTCTTTGAAGAGAAACATTTGACAATATTGAAAATTTTAAGATGGCAAACTCTACTGTCGATATGATGCTTGACGGGTTGGAGAGTGACGAAGAATCCTCACCTTTCGAGACCTCTGTAATCATACCGAATAGTGTCCTCAATGCTCTACTGATACCAATATGTATCACTGGCAATGTTTTGGTACTAGCCGCCGTATGGAGAAATCCTTCCCTACGCACTCCGTCTATCATTTTGCTGTGCAGTCTTGCTGTTTCTGATCTTTTTGTTGGGTTTCTTGCTCTTCCAGTTTACATTGCCTTTGCCCTTACACCGCTTTCTCGGGACAGTTCTTACTCACCTCTGTCACAAGCAAGCCTTGTCCTCACTATTCAACTCTGCGGTGTTTCCCTTGAAACAATGACAGCCATCAGCGTGGATCGATATTTGGCCCTACGTCATCACATGCCGGAAAGAACATTAGAACATCAGATGGTATTTTGCTCCCACTATTCTGTTCATGAACTCCGCTATAAATCCATTCTTGTATTGTTGGCGCAATCGGGAAATGCGGGAAGCAGTTTTGAAGATAGTACGAAAAAGGTTATGTAAAACAGATGAGGAAAACTTAGATAACGGTGATCAATGAAATTGGTTGACTTGAGACACTCACGGTCAGATACTGCCGCCAAAAATCCGAGATCGAGGCAGTTGAAGAAACTACGTAACGCGTTATGTAAAACAGATGGAGCGGAAAACTTATGTTTCGGTTATTACTGAAATTGGTTGATACATCGATTTCAGCGAAGTTCATTTGCGTTTTTGCCTTCAGGAAAGACCGGCAAGGATAGCTACAGATCATACAACCAGAGGCTAAATTTTTGCGGTGTAATCTGCTCTACTACTTCCATTGGATCGCTCTTCCATAGCGTACTCAGGGGCAGATAATGCTGCCAAGAAAGTAGCTAGAGGGGGGTGTTGGCTTCTTAGCAAGGGTGTCTCAAATCAAGTTGGACCCTTCCTAAATTTTCCTTCCACAATTTTATTTTTCTGCAAATTGGGTTGACGGTTGAGATAAATCTAACGGTGAAGAAATTATTCAAGATCGCTATAAGAAAGACGTCAAGAACTGCTGGACTTGCTGTTTGTAAAGGTAGGATTTACAATTTTATCTTGTCAGCCAAAAAATACGAAAAGAAAAGGCCAAATAAACAAGGATGGATGACTGAAGCAGCTGTCTTCGAATGCTTCCCTGATGTGTGGGGTTATTTGTGTTATGTTGAATTGATGTCTTTACTAAACTAATTTATTCTACGTTGTACCAGGTTTGCTTCCTTGTAGGTCGCTCTGGTCTTCTTTGACTTCTTTGTCACTAGTGTGGTCGAAATGCAAGGGAGAATTATAGGAGTGGGAAAAGAAAAAGCTTTTCCTTTAATTTTATGTCCTTTCTGATTACGGAATCGAAGTGACGGGGATAAAGCAATTTATTATTTAGCTTTATTTGATCGGCGTAATATATTTTGCAAGTTTGACAAAGTAGGGTGCACACCTATTGGTGAAATGGGGTCAATTAGAAAATGGGCGATGACTTAATTGGTACCGTTCATCATTAATTCCATTTTAAAAGATGATCAAGTAAAAAACTTCTCCTAAATGAAAAGCCCTATTAGAAATAAGTTAAAGAATTAAGTACTGGTAAGGTGATTGTAATTTTAATAAGAAGCCAGGTGAAAGAGTATAAAAAATAATATGCAGTTTCTTTTTTAAGAGAAACAGGGGACAGAATTGAAAAATTTGAGATGGCAAACTCTACTGTTGATATGATGTCTGGTGGGTTGGAGAGTGACGAAGAATCCTCACCTTTCGAAACCTCTGTAATCATAAATAGTGTCCTCAATGCTCTACTGATACCAATATGCATCGCCGGCAATGTTTTGGTACTAGCCGCCGTATGGAGAAATCCTTCCCTACACACTCCGTCTACCATTTTGCTGTGCAGTCTTGCTGTTTCTGATCTTTTCGTTGGGTTTCTTGCTCTTCCAGTTAACATTGCCATCGCCCTTATACCGCTTTCTCAGAACAGTTCTTAATCACGTCTGTCACAAGCAAGGATCTTCCTCAATATTCAACTCTGCTGTGTTTCCCTTGAAACAATGACAGCCATCAGCGTGGATCGATATTTGGCCCTACGATATCACATGCGATATCCGAATTTGATGACCTCTAAACGTGCAATGTACGTAGTAGCAACATTTTGGTGTAAAAACGTCATTTTATCACTGCTTAGCATTTGGAAGAAAAATACTATTCTTGTTGTTGCAGTTGTCTTTGTTGCCTTATGTCTTTTCATTTCTTCAATTACTTACAATGCAATTTATCGAGTCGTTCGACACCATCAACATCAGATTCACGCCCAACAGCAAGCCGTACAAAATATGAACGCGGAACAAAATCTCAAGACACAAGGGAAGAAACGCGCTCTAAACACATTTATATATTACATTTGTATGCTTCTTTGTTATTTTCCAGCGGCTGTCTCCGCCATAATTTGGGTCACTTATAAAGAACATTGGAACATCAGATGGTATTTTACCGACACTATTCTGTTCATGAACTCCGCTATAAATCCATTCTTGTATTGTTGGCGTAATCGGGAAGTCCGGGAAGCAGTTTTGAAGATAGTACGAAAAAGGTTATGTAAAACGGATGAGGAAAACTGACTTAGATAACGGCGATCAATGAAATTGGTGGTTCATTTGCGATTTTATTTTAAGACCAACGATTCACTCTGAGACACTCAGGAGCAGATACTGCCGCTAAAAATCCGAGATCGAGGCAGTTGAAGAAACTACGTAACATGTTATGTAAAACAGATGGCGAAAACTTAACTTTCGGTTTGGTTGATATATCGATTTCCGCGAAGTTTATTTGCGTTTTTGCCTTCAGGAAAGACCANATGTACGTAGTAGCAACATTTTGGTGTAAAAACGTCATTTTATCACTGCTTAGCATTTGGAAGAAAAATACTATTCTTGTTGTTGCAGTTGTCTTTGTTGCCTTATGTCTTTTCATTTCTTCAATTACTTACAATGCAATTTATCGAGTCGTTCGACACCATCAACATCAGATTCACGCCCAACAGCAAGCCGTACAAAATATGAACGCGGAACAAAATCTCAAGACACAAGGGAAGAAACGCGCTCTAAACACATTTATATATTACATTTGTATGCTTCTTTGTTATTTTCCAGCGGCTGTCTCCGCCATAATTTGGGTCACTTATAAAGAACATTGGAACATCAGATGGTATTTTACCGACACTATTCTGTTCATGAACTCCGCTATAAATCCATTCTTGTATTGTTGGCGTAATCGGGAAGTCCGGGAAGCAGTTTTGAAGATAGTACGAAAAAGGTTATGTAAAACGGATGAGGAAAACTGACTTAGATAACGGCGATCAATGAAATTGGTGGTTCATTTGCGATTTTATTTTAAGACCAACGATTCACTCTGAGACACTCAGGAGCAGATACTGCCGCTAAAAATCCGAGATCGAGGCAGTTGAAGAAACTACGTAACATGTTATGTAAAACAGATGGCGAAAACTTAACTTTCGGTTTGGTTGATATATCGATTTCCGCGAAGTTTATTTGCGTTTTTGCCTTCAGGAAAGACCAAGAAGAGCTACAGATCCTACGAGCAGATTGCTTCTCAATAGCTTACTCAGGGGCAGATAATGCTGCCAAGAAAGTAGCTAGAAAGTGGAAGAAACAAACAAAAAACTAGTGGCCAAGGAAAATTTGCAAGAAATGCAGTTTTGGGTCCCTGCTTTTTTTCCCAACCGCTACGATGATCTTCCATCGAACCCAGTATTTGAATCTTAGAACAACAGGCAGGACTTCCTTAAGAAAACAAATAAAACTCCTAGAGAGTCAAACAGTAACACTTAAACGTTATTTGACCGAGGAATAATTAATTTTTTTATCAAAAATTACAATTTTTTTGTTATACGTAACTTTAAGAGGACGTGCCTTTCTCCTCTCCTTCTTAGTATATACAATGTGATTTAACTTACATGTAAGTGCTTTAAGGTTATATTGCACGTTTTCTTTCCTTTGTTAAATTATTTCTTACTTACTTTTCACCCTATATCTAATTGAAATTCTGTATTATCACGATCTGCTATATATGGTTTGGCGAAACCAATAATATGACTGTCAAATGAAATGAAAAAATTAATAATTATGTATATAACAGCTTCTAATAATGACGCCAAAGCTGCAATTGTAATCTCAGTAGGTACAGCTGTGAGTTAAGTTAGGTAAAACGTAGCAATCAACTAAATAAGTTCTTATGGTCTATGTTAAAAATAACCTACCTTATCGAATTATATGTGCCTGTAAGAAAACAAGTTATTCAGACGTCGATTTACCTTGTATTTAAGGGATGATTAGCCAGATATTCTTCAAATAGCAGTTGCTATTCTTCGAGTTGTATTTTTGCTATTCTAGCTATGTTTTTAGGCATTTGTACGGCAATTTCTTCTTCGATGGTAAATAGCTGAGGCTGAGCTCGTCCCCAGGGCTTCTCGGGAATGGGGGTTGAAGAACAAATTTTGCCTGTACTCGGGAAGCACTCGGGAATAGTTTTTTGAAATTTTATCTCTGTCACCAACAATTAGACCGTGCAAAATAAAAGAATCGATAAAGAGAAAACAACGTAACAGTAAACACAAGCAATTAGTTGCAAAATAGACAATGTCATGGGCTTGGAAGCAATCTTGACGAGTTAGGCAACCGCGTGAGAAATTGCAGTCTTTGTATGAGAATCTAATAAAGGATAATTTCCGTAAAACGGCTCTTCTAAAAAAAATAGGAATTGTAAACTAAAGGTACACAGCAAAGGATTTTACTAACAACTTTCGGGGACCTTAACTGTGCTTAAATTTTTCCAGGCGCTTGCTTTAGATTTTCCATATATTTGTCTGCAATTTTTCTCGGGAAATTTTAGTCGGCAGGAAGAAGAAATTTTTACAGACAAATGAACCTCTGAAAGGTTATATTCGGTAGCTTTTTACTAATTAATTGAAGTTTTTGTTTTTGCTTTTCCGCCAAGTAGCTCTATGATATGAGGGATAAAGATGTAGCATTTCATCCAAGTTCCCAGGCTCTCTCACTCTATTGCTCTTTTCCTTTCTGTTGAGAATGAAGCTGGGCGCTTATTTAAACTAATGCGGCTGGGGAGAGGGGGCGGGGGTGGCTTACATGCAAGGGTGTCTCAAATCAAGTGGGACCCTTCCTAAATTTTCCTCCGCCATTTTTTTTCTCTGCGAATTGGGTTGACGGTTGAGACTAAAACCTAACGGCGAAGAAACTTTCCAAGATCGCTATAAGAACGACGCCAAGAACGGCCGGACTTGCTTTTTGCAAAGGTAGGATTTACAATTTTATCTTGCCAGCCAAAAAATACGAAAAGAAAAGGCCAAATAAACAAGGATGCATGACTGAAGCAGCTGTCTTCCAATGCTTCTCTGCTGTGTGGGGTTATTTGTGTTATGTTGAATAACTAATTTATTCTACGTTGTATCAGGCTTGCTTCGTTGTTGGTCGCTCTGGTCTTCTTTATCACTGGTGTGGTCGAAATGCAAGGGAAAATTATAGGAGTGGGAAAAGAAGAAGCTTTTCTTTTAATTTAATGTCCTTTCTGTTTACGGAATCGAAGTGACGGAGTTAAAGCAATTAATTACTTGATAAGCGTAATATATTTGCAAGTTTGACAAAGTGGGGTGCACACCTATTGGTGAAATAGAAAAAGGACGCTGACTTAATTGGTACCGTTCATCACCAATTCTATTTTAAAAGATGGACAAGTATAACTTCTACTAAATGAAAAGCCCTATTAGAAATAAGTTAAAGAATTAAATGCTGGCAAGGTGGTTATATCTTTAATAAGATGCCAGGTGAAACTATAAAAAATAATACGCAGTTTCTCTTTGAAGAGAAACATTTGACAATATTGAAAATTTTAAGATGGCAAACTCTACTGTCGATATGATGCTTGACGGGTTGGAGAGTGACGAAGAATCCTCACCTTTCGAGACCTCTGTAATCATACCGAATAGTGTCCTCAATGCTCTACTGATACCAATATGTATCACTGGCAATGTTTTGGTACTAGCCGCCGTATGGAGAAATCCTTCCCTACGCACTCCGTCTATCATTTTGCTGTGCAGTCTTGCTGTTTCTGATCTTTTTGTTGGGTTTCTTGCTCTTCCAGTTTACATTGCCTTTGCCCTTACACCGCTTTCTCGGGACAGTTCTTACTCACCTCTGTCACAAGCAAGCCTTGTCCTCACTATTCAACTCTGCGGTGTTTCCCTTGAAACAATGACAGCCATCAGCGTGGATCGATATTTGGCCCTACGTCATCACATGCCGGAAAGAACATTAGAACATCAGATGGTATTTTGCTCCCACTATTCTGTTCATGAACTCCGCTATAAATCCATTCTTGTATTGTTGGCGCAATCGGGAAATGCGGGAAGCAGTTTTGAAGATAGTACGAAAAAGGTTATGTAAAACAGATGAGGAAAACTTAGATAACGGTGATCAATGAAATTGGTTGACTTGAGACACTCACGGTCAGATACTGCCGCCAAAAATCCGAGATCGAGGCAGTTGAAGAAACTACGTAACGCGTTATGTAAAACAGATGGAGCGGAAAACTTATGTTTCGGTTATTACTGAAATTGGTTGATACATCGATTTCAGCGAAGTTCATTTGCGTTTTTGCCTTCAGGAAAGACCGGCAAGGATAGCTACAGATCATACAACCAGAGGCTAAATTTTTGCGGTGTAATCTGCTCTACTACTTCCATTGGATCGCTCTTCCATAGCGTACTCAGGGGCAGATAATGCTGCCAAGAAAGTAGCTAGAAAGTGGAAGAAACAAACAAAAAACTAGTGGCCAAGGAAAATTTGCAAGAAATGCAGTTTTCGGTCCCTGCTTTTCTCCCGACCGCCACGTTGATCTGCCATCGAACCCAGTATTTGAATCTTAGAACAATAGGAAGGACTTAAACAAATAAAACTCCTAAAGAGTCAAACAGTAAAACTTAAACGTTATTTGACCGAGGAATAATTTTTTTTTATATTAAAAATTAAAAGTTTTTTGTTATACGTAACTTTTAGGGGACCTGCGTTTCTCCTCTCCTTCTTAGTATATATATACAATGTGATTCAACTTACATGTAAGTGCTTTAATTTTGTATTGCACGTTTTCTTTCCTTTGTTAAATTATTTATTACTTACTTTTCACCTTATATCTAATTGAAATTCTGTATTATCATCTGCTATGGTTTGGCGAAACAAATAATATGACTGTGAAGTGAAATGAAATCAATAATTATGTATATAACAGCTTCTAATTATGACAGCAAAGCTGTAATTGTAATTTCAGCAGGTACAGCTGTAAGTTAAGCTAGGTAAAACATAGCAATTAACTAAACAAGTTCTCATGATCTATGCTAAAAGTGACCTATCTGAATTATATGTTGCCCGTATGAAAATTATTCAGACGTCGATTTACCTTGTATTTGAGGCATGATTAGTCTACCAAATATTCTTCAAATAGCAGTTGTAATTCGTCGAGTTGTATTTTTGCTCTTTTAGCCATGTTTTTAGGCACTTGTACGGGAATTTCTTATTCGATGGCAGTAGTGTGAAGTTTTCCGCCATTTTTTTACTACCTGGGGCTGAGCTCGTCCCCAGGGCTTCTCGGCGAATGGGGGTTGAAGAAAAGATTTTGCTTGTACTCGGTAATAGTTTTTTTGACATTTTGTCTCTGTCACCAACAATTAGACCATGCAAAGTAAAAGAATCGGTAAAGAGAAAACAATGTAACAGTAAACACAAGCAATTAGTTGCAAAATAGACCTTGTCATGGTTTTGGAAGCCATCTTGACGAGTTAGGCAACCGCGTGAGAAATGGCAGTGTTTGTATCAGAATCTAATGAAGGATAATTCCGTAAAACGGCTGTTCTGAAAAAAATATGAATTGTAAACTAAAGCTACACATCAAAGGATTTTACTAACAACTTTCGGGGACCTTAACTGTGCTTAAATTTCTCCATGCGCTTGCTTTAGATTTTCCATATATTTGTCTGCAATTTTTCCCGGGGAATTTTAGTCGGCAGAAAGAAGAAACTTTAACAGACAAATAAGCCTCTGAAAGGTTATATTCGGTAGCTTTTTACTAATTAATTGAAGTTATTTTTTTCCTATTTCAGTCCATTATCTCTATGATATGAGGGATAAAGATGCAGCATCTCATCGAAGTTGCCAGGCTCTCTCACTCTATTGTTGGTTTTCACATGACGTCACTAAAGTTCAAACTACAAAACTATCGATCCTACTGAGATTTTATTTTCATGGTGTATTAGAGCGGCTGAAAATCAATTTTTAAACAAACTTTTGCTTCAAAAGAGTTCTTGGTTTTGTAATAGAGTACGCTTGAATTTCTAAGCTTTTGCGTGACGCAGCATTTACATGACGGCTGAGAGAGCCATTTAGGTTAAAAAAGGGACTTTTTTCGAGGAATTTTGCTATCTAAACAGTTCAAGTATTAGAAAAAGTATTACTTTAATGTTTATGCGTTCCTCTAGGAGTAAATTCACGCTTTTGTAGCAAAACTCGGTAACAGATGTTTCTGTTGGTTTCCGTCCGCCATGTTGGAGCTCATCCGGATGAGCTCCAGCATGGCGTCTCCATAAAAAGCTCTCTAAATTTGGGTAAAACATTTCCTCGGATATTTCGTATACGAATTATTCCTGCGACCCAAAACTTGGCGAGGGTCTTTGTACATTTACCTCCTTTCATTTCCCAGATTCTGGACTTTATCTGTCGAATGGTTTTGATTTTTATTTTGATCTATTTTAAATAGCGCGACACTGAAAACCAGCAATTGCTCTTTTCCTTTCTCTTAAGAACGAGGTTGGGTGCTTATTTAAATTAATGCGGATGGGGGAAGGTGGTGGCTTACAAGCAAGGGTGTCTCAAATTAAGTGGGACCCTTCCTTAATTTTCCTCCGCCAATTTTTTTTCTGGAAATTGGGTTCATGGTTGAAATAAACCTAACGGCGAAGAAACTTTTCAAGATCGTTATAAGAACGACGTCAAAAACGGCCAAACGTGCTGTTTGTAAAAGCAGGATTTACAATTTTATCTTGTCAGCCAAAAAATACGAAAAGAAAAGGCCAAATAAACAAGGATGTATGACTGAAGCAACTGTCTTCCAATGCTTCCCTGCTGTGTGGAATCATTTGGGTTATATTGAATTGATGTCTTTGCTAAACTAATTTATTCTACGTTGTATCTAGCCTGCAGTGCAAGCGTTTTCTTTTAGTGCTCAATTTGCTCGCGAAAGCGACATGCACTTAAGGGTTACTATTTCTACTCTCCCCAATCTTCCACTGTCATAAAATCAAAGATGGCGGCTACAACAATATTACGAACACGAACAAGGTTTTGCCCACCCAGAATACGCCTGCACTGCAGGCTACGTTGCATCAGGTTTACTTCTTTGTTGGTCGCTCTGGTCTTCTTTGTCACTAGTGTGGTCGAAATGCAAGGGAAAATTACAGGGGTGGGAAAAGAAGAAGCTTTTCTTTTAATTTTATGTCCTTTCTGTTTACGGAATCGAAGTGACGGGGTTGCAATTAATTACTTGATAGGCATGATATATTTGCAAGTTTGACCAAGTGGGGTATACACCTATTGGTGAAATGGGGTCAATTAAAAAATGGGCGCTGACTTAATTGGTACCATTCATCATTAATTCCATTTTAAAAGATGATCAAGTATAACTTCTCCTAAATGAAAAGCCCTATTAGACATAAGTTAAAGAACTAAATGCTGGCAAGATGGTTGTAATTTTAATAAGATGCCAGGTGAAAGAGTATAAAAAATAATATGCAGTTTCTCTTTGAAGAGAAACAGGGGACAGAATTCAAAAATTTGAGATGGCAAACTCTACTGTTGATATGATGCCTGGTGGGTTGGAGAGTGACGAAGAGACCTCTGTAATCATAAATTAATAGTGTCCTCAATGCTCTACTGATACCAATACCATCGCTGGCAATGTTTTGGTACTAGCCGCCGTATGGAGAAATCCTTCCCTACGCACTCCGTCTATCATTTTGCTGTGCAGTCTTGCTGTTTCTGATCTTTTTGTTGGGTTTCTTGTTCTTCCAGTTTACGTTGCCATCGCCTGCTTTATCCTTTCTGGAAGCGGTTTTTACTCAAGTCTGTCTCAAGCAAGCCTCGTCCTCCTTACTCAACTCTGCTGTGTTTCCCTTGAAACAATGACAGCCATCAGCGTGGATCGATATTTGGCCCTACGTTATCACATGCGATATCCGGACATGATGACCTCAAGACGTGCAACCTGTGTAGCAGCAATATTTTGGTGTAAAAACGTCATTTTGTCACTGCTTAGCATTTGGAAGACAAATGCTATTCTTCTTGTTGTAGTTGTCTTTGTTGCCTTATNAAAAATAATATGCAGTTTCTCTTTGAAGAGAAACAGGGGACAGAATTCAAAAATTTGAGATGGCAAACTCTACTGTTGATATGATGCCTGGTGGGTTGGAGAGTGACGAAGAGACCTCTGTAATCATAAATTAATAGTGTCCTCAATGCTCTACTGATACCAATACCATCGCTGGCAATGTTTTGGTACTAGCCGCCGTATGGAGAAATCCTTCCCTACGCACTCCGTCTATCATTTTGCTGTGCAGTCTTGCTGTTTCTGATCTTTTTGTTGGGTTTCTTGTTCTTCCAGTTTACGTTGCCATCGCCTGCTTTATCCTTTCTGGAAGCGGTTTTTACTCAAGTCTGTCTCAAGCAAGCCTCGTCCTCCTTACTCAACTCTGCTGTGTTTCCCTTGAAACAATGACAGCCATCAGCGTGGATCGATATTTGGCCCTACGTTATCACATGCGATATCCGGACATGATGACCTCAAGACGTGCAACCTGTGTAGCAGCAATATTTTGGTGTAAAAACGTCATTTTGTCACTGCTTAGCATTTGGAAGACAAATGCTATTCTTCTTGTTGTAGTTGTCTTTGTTGCCTTATGTCTTTTTATTTCTTCAATTACTTACAGTGCTATTTATCGAATCGTTCGACACCATCAACATCAGATTCACGCCCAACAGCAAGCCGTACAGAGTATGAACGCGAAACAAAATTTCCAGATACAAGCGAAGAAACATGCTGCAAACACATTTATATATTACATTTGTATGGTTCTTTGTTATTTTCAAGCTGTTGCCTCCGCCCTAATTTTGGTGACTTATAAAGAACATTGGAACATCAGATGGTATTTTGCTGAGCTCGTCCCCAGGTCTTCTCGGCGACTGAGGGTTGAAAAGCAAATCTTGCCTGTACTCGGGAATAGTTTTTTCACATTTTATCTCTGTCACCAACAATTAGACCGTGCAAAATAAAAGAATCGATAAAGAGAAAACAACGTAACAGTAAACACAAGCAATTAGTTGCAAAATAGACCTTGCCATGGTTTTGGAAGCCATCTTGACGAGTTAAGCAACGTGAGAAATTGCAGTGTTTGTAGGAGAATCTAATGAAGGATAATTTCCGTAAAACGGCTGTTCTGAAAAAAATATGAATTGTAAACCAAAGCTACACAGCAAAGGATTTTACTAACAAATTACGGGGACATTAACTGTGATTAAATTTCTCCAGGCGCTTGCTTTAGATTTTCCATATATTTGTCCGCAATTTTTCCCGGGAAATTTTAGTCGGTACGAAGAAGAAATTTTGACAGTCAAATGAACCTCTGAAAGGTTATATTCGGAAGCTTTTTACTAATTAATTGAAGTTTTTTTTTTTTCCTTTTCTGCCAAGTAGCTCTATGATATGAAAGATAAAGATGCAGCATTTCATCCAAGTTTCCAGGCTCTCTCACTCTATTGCTCTTTTCCTTTCTCTTGAGAACGAGGTGGGCGCTTATTTAAACTAATGCGGATAGGGGTGGGGGGGGGGGGGGGGGGGGGGTNAAATTTTCCTCCGTCAATTTTTTCTTCTACAAATTGGGTTGACGGTTGAGATAAACCTAACGGCGAAGAAACTTTTCAAGATCGCTGTAAGAACGACGTCAAGAACGGCCAGACTTGCTGTTTGTAATAGTTGGATTTCCAATTTTATCTTGTCAGCCGAAAAAATACGGAAAGAAAAGGCCAAATAAACAAGGATGCATGACTGAAGCAGCTGTCTTCCAATGTTTCCCTGCTGTGTTGGGTTATTTGTGTTATGTTGAATTGATGTCTTTGCTAAACTAATGTATTCTACGTAGTATAAGGGTTGCTTCCTTGTTGGTCGCTCTGGTCTTCTTTGTCACTAGTGTGGTCGAAATGCAAGGGAAACTTATAGGTGAGTGGGAAAAGAAGAAGCTTTTCTTTTAATTTAATGTTCTTTCTGTTTACGGAATCGAAGTGACGGGGTTAAAGCAATTAATTACTTGATGGGCGTAATATATTTGCAAGTTTGACGGAGTGGGGTGCACACCTATTGGTGAAATGGGGTCAATTAGAAAATGGGCGCTGACTTAATTGGTATCATTCTTCATTAATTCCATTTTATAAGATGATCAAGTATAACTTCTCCTAAATGAAAAGCCCTATTAGACATAAGTTAAAGAATTAAAAGCTAGCAAGATGGTTGTAATTTTAATAAGATGCCAGGTGAAAGAGTATAAAAAATAATATGCAGTTTCTCTTTGAAGAGAAACAGGGGACAGAATTCAAAAATTTGAGATGGCAAACTCTACTGTTGATATGATGCCTGGTGGGTTGGAGAGTGACGAAGAGACCTCTGTAATCATAAATAGTTTCCTCAATGCTCTACTGATACCAATATGCATCGCTGGCAATGTTTTGGTACTAGCCGCCGTACGGAGAAATCCATCCCTACACACTCCGTCTACCATTTTGCTGTGCAGTCTTGTTGTTTCTGATCTTTTTGTTGGGTTTCTCCTTCTTCCAGTTAACATTGCCATCGCCCGCTTTTATATCCTTTCTGGAAGCAGTTCTGACTCACGTCTGTTTCAAGCAAGGTTCTTCTTCACTATTCAACTCTGCGGTGTTTCGCTTGAAACAATGACAGCCATCAGCGTGGATCGATATTTGGCCCTACGATATCACATGCGATATCCAAATTTGATGACCTCTCAACGTGCTATGTACGTTGCAGCAACATTTTGGTGTAAAAACGTCATTTTATCACTGCTTAGCATTTGGAAGAGAAAGACTATCTTGCTTGTTGCAGTTGTTCTTATTGCCTTATGTCTTTTCACTTCTGCAATTACTTACAGTGCAATTTATCGAATCGTTCGACACCATCAACATCTGATGCACGCCCAACAGCAAGCCGTACAGAGTATGAATGCGGAACAAAACCGCAAGTTACAAGCGAAGAAACGCGCTCTAAACACATTTATATATTACATTTGTATGCTTCTTTGTTATTTTCCATCGGCTGTATCCATCCTAATTACGGTGGCTTATGAACCACATTTGAACATCAGTTTGTATTTCGACACTATTATGTTCATGAACTCCGCTATAAATCCATTCTTGTATATTTGGCGTAATCGGGAAATCCGGAGAGGAGTCTTGAAGATACTTCGAAAAATATTATACAAAACAGATGAGGAAAACTTAAATAACGGCGATCAATGAAGTTGGTGGTTCATTTGCGTTTTTATTCTAAGATCAAGGATTCACTTGAAACACTGCCCCCCAAAAAACTTAGATCGAGGTAGTTTTGAAGAAACTACGTAAAATGGTTAAGTTTCGGTGATCAATGAAAGACTAAGGATAGCTATCCAACTAGTTGAGGCTACATTTTCCGGCTGTGTAAACTGGTCTGCAACTTCCACTGAATTCCTCAGGGGCATCCAAGGACAGTTTGCTACCGAATGCGTTGAAAACACTTTTTTAGACTATCCAGAGTACTTCTTATAGCCTGCGTAGCAGGCGCTTGGAAGTAGTGGGCACAACATCGGGCACAAGAAAAAGACGGGCGCGTCTAGGCGTGTCTCCCTCTCGCTAGCCTGTTCCAGGCTCCGAGATAGTCGGACCTGCTGAATTGAGATAGCGCGAACCAAAAAAAAAAAACGGGAGGAAACTGGGGCGAGGGGGAGGCGGCGGAAAAAAAGTGAAGTGCAGTGAAACGAATAGATTTTCCAGCAAAGTAGATTTGGCCAGCAAAAGGAAATTAAATTAATCTTTCAAAGAAAATTTGCTCGTGCAACTGTTCAATCTGCAGCGGCAGTCCAGCAAGTTGAAAAAAACTCATCTAGTCATAATCTGATTCACCGAATTGTATCAATTGTCAGAAAGCACGAACTCGTCTTTTTACCTTTAGAAGTGTCCGAGTTTCACCGCGATGAAATGAACAACTTGTACAACGCAATAATTATATTACGAGCAACATGAAAATCTATATATGCTGCATTGCGTAGAAATACTTAAGCTAAACTGAAAATCACCGTCAAGTAAACAAATTTGTAAGAAAACTTTCACATCTAAAATATAAAAAGAGTTCCCAAATACAAGCTATATGGTAGGCTTCTCTGTATAAACACACGCTTATCTCTGGATCCACTTTTGTGGAAAGATCGAATCGCCCGGGCGAATCGCACAGCATCTCACCTTCACAATCGCGGTTTGCTGTTGTTCACTTTCACTAGATAAATCTTTCCTTGAATCCATTGCATCCTCCAGTGAAGAAATGCCCGCAGAAGGAATTGAATTTTCCTTGTCAACCTCCTCGGGTAATACGCTCACATCCGCCAAGTCAAGGCATCTTCGAGACTTTGCCCTTGCTCCATCCTCTCGTGTGCGCTTCGACAGGGGAGAAATTCCAGTGGGAGAATTACTACTCAGTCTTTTGGTATTTGAGGAAATCCCGCCGTTCGAGTGAGATACCAGTTTGGTGAACGTCGCATATACACGCGCTAAAGTTCTTGCACAAGTTAAACAGCTAATAGACCTTGTCGCGGCTTTCGACGCCATCTTGACGAGTAGGCAAACGCGTGAGAAATTACAGTGTTTGTACTGATGAGAATCTACAGTGTTTGTACTGATGAGAATGTCGAATAATTTCCATAAAACGGCTGTTCTGAACAAAATATCAATTGTAAACTAAAGCTACAAAGCAAAGGATTGTCCTAAAAAAATTTGGGGCGTGTACCTGTGCTAAAATTTCTGCAGAGGCTTTCTTTAGATTTTCCATATATTTGTCTGTAATTTTCCCGGGACTTTCTTACAGACAAGTGTATAGAAAATTTTAACAAGTGGTTCTAGGTCTTCTAGTGCATGTAACGCCCTCAAGTTTTTCTGGAGGAGCCTTAGGAGTGAAGCTTTAGTTTAAAAATCATATTTTTTTTCAGAACAGCCGTGCTAAGGAAATTATTCGACATTAGATTCTCATACAAACACTCTAACTTCTCACGCGTTTGCCGACTCGTCAAGACGGCGTCGAAAACCTTGACAAGGTCTATTTCGGAGAGAACTTCGTGCCTCTGCAATTTGTGGCCGAGCGATCCAACAACATCAGCTAATACTACACTCTCCGTGTCGGTATACGCCAATAACTCTTTGTTTATTACCATTGGACACAGAAACACGAGGGACTTTTGATCCACTACGTGTCAGAGATTTTTTACAAAATCTACAGCTCTTAGAAGGATGGACTGCGCGATTTGCAAACTCTGTTTCGGAAGACGTGAAATTGCTCACGCCGGCATAAGGAATTTTCGCCGCGCGAAATACTCGCGCGAGAAATTTGAGAACGATTCCTACTCATTAACACATCAACAGCTTGACATCCAAAAGTGGGCGGAAGAGGGTCGTAAAAGAAATTATTACAGGCTCTCTCTCCCTTCCTTTCCGCCCCCATTTTCGCGCGCCCTACACTTTCGCGTCTTCCCCAATATCGAGAGCCTGGAACAGGCTACCCTATCGCGCGCCCGTTCTCTTTTTCGACCACTACTTCCAAGCGCTTCCTCGTACCCAGAAGTACCCTTCCCATGGTCCCTTGCAGTTCATCACCAGTCACTCGCGTTTCGCGCTCGCCTCTGCCATGCGAAAATCGCCTGAGGAGGAGGAGGCTGTTCCAAGCGCCTGCTACGCAGGCTAACTTCTTAAGACTTAACAAATGCATTCTAAGTGGCGCTATAAAATTTGTATCTGTTCGGTCATTCTAGGGGAACTTAAGTCTTTTCGAAATTGCAAGGGCTTCGGTATTATTTCCCCGAAAATCTTAGATGCAATTTAGCGCATTACGAAAGTGAAAATTTTTTTTTGATTCCTCTCTCCATCACATTTTTGAATCCGAAAATTTTAGGTTTCTTTTGTACGAAAAATATCCTAACCTGGGCAATGAAATGTACAAAATAAAACTTCAAAAATAGTAGGGAATTTATTAGATAAACTTCGAAAATTGTACATGAATGGAATGGTCACCTAGAAAAATGGTCTCAGATGCAAGAATTTTTACTTTGCCCGAGTGCTTCGCGCGCGGGCTAGACAAGTAAACAAGTGATGTCACGGACATGCGTAGTACGTTATTCAGCCCTGTCAACTTTGCCTGTACTAGGGAATAGTTTTTTGTCATTTTACGTCTGTCACCAACAATTAGACCGTGCAAAATAAAAGAATCGATAAAGAGAAAACAACGTAACAAGCAATTAGTTGCAAAATAGACCTTGTCATGGTTTTGGAAGCCATCTTGACGAGTTAGACAACCGCGTGAGAAATTGCAGTGTTTGTATGAGAATCTAATGAAGGATAATTTCCGTAAAACGGCTGTTCTGAAAAAAATGTCAAGTGTAAACTAAAGCTACACCGCAAAGGATTTTACTAACAAATTTCGGGGACCTTAACTGTGTTTAAATTTCTCCAGGCGCTTGCTTTAGATTTTCCATATATTTGTCTGCAATTTTTCCCAGGAAATTTTAGTCGGCAGGATGAAGAAATTTTTACAGACGAATGAACCTCTGAAAGGTTATATTCGGTAGCTATTGACTAATTAATTGAAGTTATTTTTTTTTCCTTTTCTGCCAAGTAGCTCTATGATATGAAGGATAAAGATGCAGCATTTCATCCAAGTTCCCAAGCTCTATCACTCTATTGCTCTTTTCCTTTCTCTTAACAACGAGGTTGGGCGCGTATTTAAACTAATGCGGCTTACAAGCAAGGGTGTCTCAAATCATGTGGGACCATTCCTAAATTTTCCTCCGCCATTTTTTTCTTCTTCAAATTGGGTTGACGGTTGAGATAAACCTAACGGCGAAGAAACTTTTCAAGATCGCTATAAGAACGACGTCAAGAACGGCCGGACTTGCTGTTTGTAAAAGAAGGATTTACAATTTTATCTTGCCAGCCAAAAAATACGAAAAGAAAAGGCCAAATAAACAAGGATGAATGACTGAAGCAGCTGTCTTCCAATGCTTCCCTACTGTGTGGGGTTATTTTTGTTATGTTGAATAACTAATTTATTCTACGAAGTATCAGGTTTGCTTCCTTGTTGGTCGCTCTGGTCTTCTTAGTCACTAGTGTGGTCGAAATGCAAGGGAAAATTATAGGAGTGGGAAAAGAAGAAGCTTTTCTTTTAATTTTATGTGCTTTCTGTTTACGGAATCGAAGTGACGGGGTTAAAGCAATTAATTATTTGAAAGGCGTAATATATTTGCAAGTTTGACGAAGTGGGGTGCACACCTATTGGTGAAATAGAAAATGGACACTGACTTAATTGGTACCGTTCATCACCGATTCTATTTTAAAAGATGGACAAGTAAAACTTCTGCTAAATGAAAAAGATTGAAAAAGCCCTATTAGACATAAGTTAAAGAATTAAATGCTGGCANAAAGATTGAAAAAGCCCTATTAGACATAAGTTAAAGAATTAAATGCTGGCAAGGTGGTTATAATTTTAATAAGATGCCAGGTGAAACTATAAAAAATAATATGCAGTTTCTCTTTGAAGAGAAACATTTGATAACATTGAAAATTTTAAGATGGCAAACTCTACTGTCGATATGATGCGTGATGGGTTGGAGAGTGATCAAGAATCCTCACCTTTCGGGACCTCTGTAATCATACCGAATAGTGTCCTCAGTGCTCTACTGATACCAATATGCATCGCTGGGAATGTTTTGGTACTAGCCGCCGTATGGAGAAATCCATCCCTACACACTCCGTCTACCATTTTGCTGTGCAGTCTTGCTGTTTCTGATCTTTTTGTTGGGTTTCTTGCTCTTCCAGTTTACATTGCCTTCGCCCTTACATCGCTTTCTCGGGTCAGTTCTTACTCACGTCTGTACCAAGCAATCCGCGTCCTCACTATTCAACTCTGCTGTGTTTCCCTTGAAACAATGACAGCCATCAGCGTGGATCGATATTTGACCCTACGGTATCACATGCGATATCCCAACATGATGACCTCAAGACGTGCAACCTGTGTAGCAGCAACATTTTGGTGTAAAAACTTCATTTTATCACTGCTTAGCATTTGGAAGAAAAATACTATTCTTCTTGTTGCAGTCGTCCATATTGCCTTATGTCTTTTCATTTCTTCAATTACTTACAACGCAATTTATCGAATCGTTCGACGCCATCAACATCAGATTCACGCCCAACAGCAAGCCGTACAGAGTATGAACGCGGAACAAAAC